ACCCTCAATTAACTGTCACATCAGTTAACCAACCATTCTAGTTGGCAAATTTCAAATGTCCGCTAGTGATGTGTCGCTACAATATTTGGCTATGTCCTGGCTACTTTGATATTATTTTTATTAAATTTTTGCGTGTTTTAGCTGGCAACACTGGCTCGACCATAAAAGGAATGCCAGTATTTTTTTTTTTAAATACTCTTTCCGTCCTGCAGGTACTAAGAGGGCCTCTTATAGCAGGTCCATTATGGGTTCGGCCAGGCCCACAATGGGGCAACCGGGTGGTGAGGGATGGGGCCTGACATATCCAAACAGACCACCCCCCGAAAAATTCCTGGGGATTCCCTGACCCATCCGGATTCAATCCCGGGTCCCCCAGAGCGGTAGGCTGCCACTTTGACCGCTCTGCCATCCGGCTGTCTAGGGAGGCCAATATGTAAACAAGACTTAATTTTCTAATTCTGAGTGGAAAAAAAAATTTTGTTAGGCTTAACATCTATGAAAATTCAACGCGAAGTAGGTTAATAGCAATATACAAATACAGTGTTTTTCAACCTTCTTGAATATGCGACCCCTTTACAAGTTAAAAACTTCTGGTGACCCCCAGGGCCATATTAAAACTATATCAGTGATTTTAAAAACTACATACTGTATTTAATTTTCTTTCTGTTGAGATCTAAATATCGATTGAAAAACCAATTATACTGTAAAATAAACAGGTACAGCTTTCTCACTGAAATTGTAGGTTCTTTTATTGTAGTGTAGGACCTACAAACACTTGTCTTTTTCTTTTACCTGCAACCCCCGTGTAAGGCTTTGCGACCCCCCCTGGGGGTCATGACCCACAGGTTGAAAAACACTGTACAAATATACTATATTAATAATGTATTTTTTTCATTCTTTTCAGTTATCCGACCAACCTGAGTCCCCAATTGAGTTAGATAATCAATGCTCTACAGTATTTACAAAAATGACAGATTTCTACGGGATGATCTTTCTCAGCATTGTTAACTAAGAATGTTTAGAATAAAAGTTTCATTTACTTATTACAACTAGATTTCATCTCTATATGCTGATAATATATTGAGGATAACATGGAGTTAATAAAATGGAATGGATCTGATTAAAAAAATATATATGATTTTATTAATAAAATAAGTAAAATACATCCATTAAGTTTTTGTATGACTATGAAAATGTAATAAACAAATGAGTAATTATTTTATTGTGACATTGTCATGATGCCAGGTTGCAATTATTAATCATATTTTTAATTTATTTAATTTAATATATATGAGGAAAAAGCCAAAAGTTTCTGGCCTAACTGTATTTTAGACACAATAGGAATAAAATAATGACAGTAATAGTGCCATCTGTACATTAGTGTCTAATAAAACAGTTTTTCCTGCCAATTTGCTTAAGTTGCTTAGAAGCATTCATTTTAGTTAGATTTGTTACATTAATTTGTATCATGGTCGCCTCTTGCAGGATAATGCACTAGTGCACATGGCTGTCATTGCCAAGGAGTGTGGGTTTGAGGAGCTTGACTATACACCCTAGAGTCTGGACCTGGGTCCTAGTAATTATCATCTGTTTCCAAACTCATAAAAGATCTTTGAAAAAGTGATAGTGTTGCAGGAACAGTTTATAAGCATTTTGCAGACAAAACTGCAGACTATTTTTTCAAGGGTATTGAAATGCTAATTCCAAGATGTAATAAGTGTGATGAACTGCAAAGAAACTATACTGAAATATGACATCATTGTTTTATACCTATAATATCTAAAACATAGGCCAGAAACTTTTGGCACCTACCACATGTTCTCCACCTCAAATTAGTAGTGTCTTGCCCCTGTACATCATACTTTTCCTGTTAGCAACAGAGTTGTGCTAGTCATCTAACTCCTTTCAGGGGAAAAATTTCAAATTGAAATAACATGACTTCTGTTTCAAATCAGAAGTTATTATATAGTTAATCAGGGCCTCCTGCCACTACACTTTCCATATCTGGTCTCAATTTTCATCTATCCAACTCCATTCACGAGATTAAGGAAGGACAGACAGAGAGAGACAGACAACAATGGAAATCTATAGGTCTACATTTTTTTCAAATTGCAGCCCAATGATACCACTGGATTTTAATCAGGTTATAATATGGCTAATTAATTATAAAAATTATGTCATTTGAACTAAAGGTAGTCCAATTTATGTATTATTTCTTTATAATTAACTAGCTGTTATCCGCAACTTCGCTCGCGCGGATTTTGCAAGCGAACACCATTTATATTCAGTATTTCAACAACCATAATAATTGTTATATAACACCTACTGCTGAGAATCAAACAAACTGTTTTCAATTTGATCAATTTTCTGGAACGTTTACAATCGTTCTATAATTGAACCAATATGCAATAACAAATTTGAATTTAAAACAGTTCAAACATTTGGTTAAAAAATTGAAATATATAAAAATATTTATAACAATGTATGAAATGTTGTCAATTTAATACACCTAAGTACTCAATGAAGGCTAAACGTAGTTGTAAACAAAAAATTGCATCTAAAATAGTACAGCAGAAGCCGTTCTTCAGGTTAAGCCTTAAAGCTCTCCCTCTCCCTTCCAGCGGGGGAATTTCGAAAAAGCCCTTCTTAATGTGTTCTCATGACGTACCCTAACTGTGTACCAAATTTCACCTCTTTAGGCTCAGTGGTTTGCTCTGGGCGATGACGAATCAATCAGTCACCCAGTCAGTCAATCAGTCAGGACAAGTAATTTTATATATTTAGATTAGCTATATTATGACCTGCTTAAAATCCAGTAGTAACATTTGTTTAATACTATATATCAGGCTCAGTTTTATGTAATTATGAAAAAGTAGATATTCCATACCATTCTTAGATCTTAATAATAAGATTTGATAAGTAAACAGTTGTTTCCTCTATGTGTTTTACCCTGGGGTAATGCAGTGGGGTGTTTCGCCACCCCAACGTTTTAAAAGTTGCACTATTCATAGATTTCGCAAGAAATATTTGTGTCCTCTTCAGTAGCTTCATGATTTTATGTATAGAGCATGCTCAGAAATTACTACGATGTTGCAGAAATTCTAGTAAGAGAAAGACAACAGTTCTCAGTGGGGTGTCCAAACACCCCACAGTATTAATTATGTTTTTTTTTTAAATTTTACAAATATTTATTTAGTTTTTTTTATTTTTAAAATAACTATAATGTGACCACATTTATTATTTATAATATAGATAAATTATTTTTATTCACATTGATTATTATAAGTTTATTTTAATTCAAAATGGCTGACTTTCATAAACACACTGAGAAGATACCAAACATAGCAAGCTGCTTGTCATTTGAATTGAGTGCCAAAGTACAATGTTAGCTATTGAATCAGAGTGACAAAAATGCTTAAAAATCAATTTAGATTTTTACTATTGGTTTAATAATAAGATCTAATGTAATGATTTAGATAAATGTTGTTTTCTATTTTCATGGATTTATGTACTAATATAATATGTTATCATACCTGAATATAATCATATGTATAATGACACATGCCTTTACCAAATAAATGAGTAAATCTTTATGAATTTTTACTTACATGGTTTATGGACCCTAAAAAATGTTGGGGTGGACAAACACCCCACTGCATTAATGCCGAAAAAAACTCAGTGCACTAACGCAGGGTTTACATCAAATTTAAGCAATATTTATTTTCTACATCCTATATAAATTCAATTGCCTTGTGTTTACCCAATTTATTATTACAATAATTTAGTTTAGTTTTACATAATAAGCATTAGCTTTCTCTAAAGAGTAACCAATAAGGATATAATTTCTCATTTAGAAAGTTATATTTTATATATAGTTCTTATTTTAAGTTACATTTTATATTAGGGCTGAAATTCATAAATTTTTAATAATTTAGAAAAGTATTACGTAATCTCACATAAAATTATAACAAAATTAAGTAACTTTCAAAGTTATTTACTTTTCATTAAATCAGTTTATCAGAATAGCATGACTGCAACACTTGTGAAGAATAGGACAATGCAACACTTGAGTAATCTGCTAAGGTGGGATGCCTCCAGGAGGTCTTTCTATGAAAACACAGTGGTGTTATAGCATTGACTTCAGACATTTTTCTTTGGGAGAATGTTTTGGGGAAAATATTTCCTTATAAAAGATTGGTTTGAGGCCCCTGTTGGTGGGATCCCAAACTAATCTTTTTGCCCTTAAGAGTGTAAAAACAGGCCCCTGTTTATGTGTTAGACCAAGGTTTGCCAAACTTTTTTGATCATCGACCCACTACAAGTTTTCAAAACCTCACATCAACCCCACCAAAAAGTTTGTATTACAAGCAAAATAAAGTACTTACTATTTTAATACATTTCTTTTAATTTTGCATTTTTTTTCATTTATTGTATATTTGTTAATAATAACTTTTGTAACTGACAATCAATGAGACGGATAAGCTTGATCCTTAGCTTATCCTTATCTTAAGCTTGATAATTGACCCCCTAATAATGTTTATATCGACCACTTTGGAAACCTGTGTTAGACACACGAAGAAAACCCAAAAAACTTCAAGGTGTCCAATCCATTGATCAGGCACAAATCCATAACTAACTACTAACGCTTAGTGGTTTTATCCACCTGGCCATCAGCACACTTGCGAGGATTGTAAACACACGCTTAAGCAACATGGACAAAGCAATATGTTCAACCATTCATTCGTCTGATGTCTATCATTTCATCAATGAACTGATTAATAAAAAGACTAGAAAGTATCAATCAAAAATCATCATAACAAAATGTGAAATTGAGAAAAATATGGTAGAAATTACTTTTAGTATCTTTTACATTTATGGATATATATACATATATCCATAAATGACCTAAAAGTAACTTCTACCCATATATTCTTTAAACGCATGGTATTATTTACAAAGGAAATGTAATTGTTTATGTTTAGATATTTAAAAAATGTTACCATTTCTTTAACAGCTTCCCTGAGTGGTTTTAAAATCTGTGTAGTCTTTGGATCTTCCATATTTCTAATATAATCTATTTGATATTGCTTATATTTTCTACCGCCTAAACGTATTAATTCGGCTTTCTGGCTTAAATGTTTATTTATTGCGTGGACAATCGCTTTCTTTACTTGAAATAAATTAGAAGTTCGAAAAATTCCCATGAAATCATTGACCTGACATATTCAGAACAGGTTCGTGTGCGATTTCATCATGCTACTGCATGTTCCATTCTTCTAACGTACAATAATATGGTGAAATATCAATTGATCAGTTGAATGACTCCATTGGAAAGTATTATAAACGACTACGAATCGTATCCAATAGGAAACGTTTATAAAAACGTTCTCTTTTAACATGTTAGTGTTAGTTAGTGTGTAAAGTTATAAATTGTTTCTGTTGAAAAATGAATTCAATAAATTATTTTGTTAAATACAAAAACTTTTTTTAATATTTATATAATTCATAAAAATATTAATTAATACATTTAATATTTTTTTAATTTTAAAAATGTCTATATCATCCAGATATGAAATATAATTATTCTGCTTTTTTTACACACTTTCAGCCTTGTGGGCACTTACAAGTTAGAGGGTCTTTTTAGTAAGCCCATTCGGCTAGGTTCACAGGCCTAGCATGGATTCGGATGGTGAGGGACATAATCGGACGGACCACCTCCCGAAAAATTCCTGGGGTGCATATACTTTTGGGATCAAACTGATCCAAGATCACTTCGATCGTACAAATCGTGTATACAAACGAACTACTGTGATCCGATCGATCTCTATTTGCGTATACAAACGCCATCTAGGATCAACTGGATCTCGATCAAAATAATCCAAGCGGAGAGTAGGATCGTTTGGATCGGATAAAAGAGATTAAAGATGGCGGCTTCCATGGTTGAAGTTAAGCTGACAGTGCATTTCTTCCTCTTCCTATTACTATTTCTTTTGATTGTAATAAAATGGGAACAAGATCCTTCAGTAAATTTTCAAAAGTAAGTCGACTTACTCGAAAGTGTTCTTTAAAAACATTTGGCCTATATTCTAATGCAACCTCTGAAACATAGTTAGTTATTTTGCATACCGATTTCTTTTTTTTCTTACTTTTATATTGTGTTAAATAAGTAACCAAAATTAATTCTTTTTCCTCGGATTCTGAATCTAATTCCGATAATATTCCTAAAATGATTCCTAAACTTGCCGCCATCTTCGATCCTACTCGTACACTTTCCGCCATGACAGAAGCTATCTGATCCGATTTTACAGATCGATCTATACAAAACGAAAAGTATATGCATCCCTGGAGTTTTTCGATCGATCCGTTCGGATTCGATCGCGGGTCTCTCAGAGCGGTAGACAGCCATCCAAACCGCTCGGTCTTTTGACCATCATTCGAAAATACTAGTCTTGTGAAGTCTTCAAACTGTCAAAAGTCGCCAAATTTTGAAATGTTTCTTCATTGCACAAAAACAGAGTATTTTCTTTAAAACATTTGATTCTTGTCAACCATATGGATGCAATCTTCCAACTGAGTTTAAGTATTTAATGCAGATATACAGTACTTTATTACAAATATATAGAATATAAAGCATATTTAAATTAAATATTTTTAAAAAGGGATTAAAGGTTTATTGTTAATCGAGTTTAAAAACTTTTCACAAGTTCAAGTTTTATTTTTGATGTTTCTACTTTTCCGGCTCTATTATATACAGGGTGTATCAAAATGACGTTTTAAAAATTTGGGGGATTGTAGAGGATTAAATTTTGCACGTTTTGATATAAAGAATCCATAGCCGGAAATGTGATATAACGGTTTTACAGCACTTTGCACTTTGCAGTCGATATGCTGAATGAAACAGCAGAACAGTGGCGTGCCGTCATTAGAAGCGGTGGAAGCGCCGCGTTCCTTATATTTTATAAAAAATAAACACATATTAATTTTAATTATATGAAAATAATCGCACGATATTTTATTATAACCGCATTATGTATCTTATTACAAATTTCTATACTACACGTGAAAAAAAATAAGATTGCTATTGTATATTCAAATATTAGTGGCGGAGTGGAATCTCTGTATTGTCAGATTCCAAAAAGCCAGATTCGCGCACACGCTTTACAGAGCACCAACCTCACCCGGTTTAGCCGGTGGAAGCCTACGACCTTGGGTTGATGCTACACATATAACGCTTCCAATTCTATCAAGGACCGGTTCCGGGTCGTTAGCCGCCCGGCCGCTAGACATTTGGCCGATTACGTGAATAACGAGTAGATTTATAACTTAACCCAACCGATAAGAATTTACTGGTATGTTTTTACGATAGT